TTCTTCAGTGTTCTGAAAGCGCAGTTTCATCACAGAACATGATAACCATCACAGTAGACTTATACAGCATGAAGTGACATTTACTTCAACGTTTTGAGTATCTGACCTTTATTTTGCCAGAAAACCTTGATGATTATCACATAGTGTGTCACATTAAAGCAAAAGTATCTGATGTAACACAATGTAAATATTTGCACAATAAGGTACAAGGCAGCAGTATGATATATGGCTAATACATGGCAGTTCTCACCCCCCCAGATGCCTGCATTAGAGATACAACGCAATTATTAACTGGTTACCAAAGCAACAAGAGCATTAAAAGGTGATGTATATCTCATACCCGTGGGCTACAGTGTAATTTACTAAAGCTATCAGCAAATCAGCAGGAAGTAACCTGTTGATAATGTCTGATAAACCATGATATTCAGCCAATCAGCAACAACAAAGCATTTTTTGTATCATTTGTGTAGTTTCGCCTAATATACTTCATTTATATACAATAAGAGCTCAATAACTGGATTTTGGGGACACGTTCCTTCTTCAGTGAAAAGTCCACAGTCTAAATAAACCAAGCAATGTCATAGTGACATTGTCATGTTTAGCACCAGAAAGGAAAAATACAATGTTCCAGTGAAGTCACCAGGTTAAAACTGGCTCAAAAGCAGTCAGACTTGGGAAAAATCTTTTTTTTTTCAGTTTCATTAAGGATTCCTGAAAAAGAAATCACAGACATGATGAATGTCTGTCAGCGGAAGAATGACACAGAGGACTCATCAAACAATACCTTCCTTATTTGTCAAGGCAGCCTTCAGCACCGTGGACAGGGTTTGTAGAGCTCAGATGTTTGTAAAGGCAGCCTTCAGCACCGTGGACAGGGTTTTTAGAGCTCAGATGTTTGTAAAGGCAGCCTTCAGAACCGTGGACAGGGTTTTCAGAGCTCAGATGTTTGTAAAGGCAGCCTTCAGCACCGTGGACAGGGTTTTTAGAGCTCAGATGTTTGTAAAGGCAGCCTTCAGCACCGTGGACAGGGTTTGTAGAGCTCAGATGTTTGTAAAGGCAGCCTTCAGCACCGTGGACAGGGTTTTCAGAGCTCAGACGTTTGTAAAGGCAGCCTTCAGCACCGTGGACAGGGTTTGTAGAGCTCAGATGTTTGTAAAGGCAGCCTTCAGCACCGTGGACAGGGTTTGTAGAGCTCAGATGTTTGTAAAGGCAGCCTTCAGAACCGTGGACAGGGTTTTCAGAGCTCAGATGTTTGTAAAGGCAGCCTTCAGCACCGTGGACAGGGTTTGTAGAGCTCAGATGTTTGTAAAGGCAGCCTTCAGCACCGTGGACAGGGTTTTCAGAGCTCAGATGTTTGTAAAGGCAGCCTTCAGCACCGTGGACAGGGTTTGTAGAGCTCAGATGTTTGTAAAGGCAGCCTTCAGCACCGTGGACAGGGTTTTCAGAGCTCAGATGTTTGTAAAGGCAGCCTTCAGCACCGTGGACAGGGTTTGTAGAGCTCAGATGTTTGTAAAGGCAGCCTTCAGCACCGTGGACAGGGTTTTTAGAGCTCAGATGTTTGTAAAGGCAGCCTTCAGCACCGTGGACAGGGTTTTCAGAGCTCAGATGTTTGTAAAGGCAGCCTTCAGCACCGTGGACAGGGTTTGTAGAGCTCAGATGTTTGTAAAGGCAGCCTTCAGCACCGTGGACAGGGTTTTCAGAGCTCAGATGTTTGTAAAGGCAGCCTTCAGCACCGTGGACAGGGTTTGTAGAGCTCAGATGTTTGTAAAGGCAGCCTTCAGCACCGTGGACAGGGTTTTCAGAGCTCAGATGTTTGTAAAGGCAGCCTTCAGCACCGTGGACAGGGTTTGTAGAGCTCAGATGTTTGTAAAGGCAGCCTTCAGCACCGTGGACAGGGTTTTCAGAGCTCAGATGTTTGTAAAGGCAGCCTTCAGCACCATGGACAGGGTTTGTAGAGCTCAGATGTTTGTAAAGGCAGCCTTCAGCACCGTGGACAGGGTTTTTAGAGCTCAGACGTTGTCAAAGACAAAAGGGAGCTGAACTATGACCTTCCACTCAGGTAGTGTCTCTCCTGATAGTCTGCACCATTGTGACACAAATACACAGCTAACTTTTGTTAAAAATCGACCAAACCACATTGATTTCTTCCCTGTACCTTGCATGCCACCTCTGCCCACCTCTGGCACTCCTTTCTCACACTATACTGAAGGGGATATGAACTCTGGTGATAGTGTTTGAGAGACCTTGGGATTAAACTTAATGCCTACATGAAAAGAGTAATTGAGGTGCCACCGTTTAATCTATAGAGAGTGAAGAGAGTTTCTGATGAATGTTCAAATCTATTTTTATTTCAACAACCTTGTACTATTCAGCGTTCCATCTGCAATGCTGAGATATTAAAGTATTCTCTTGATCCACTTGAAGGGACTGTATTTTTGCACATATAAAAATGTTGAATGTTTGAATCAACACTGAAAGTTGGTTCTGTGTGAGTCCACACTTTTTGGAGGATTAAATTAACATTTTGCTCCATTTTGATTCTGTCACAGTTTTTGTATGAAGTAAAAATGATAAATTTGGAGATACTATCAACAGTGGGAAGAGCGTGTAATTTTGGTCTTCACTTGAATAAAAAGCAATTTGGAAGCCTAGATATGTTGTTCAGCGTTCCATCTGCAATGCTGAGATATTAAAGTATTCTCTTGATCCACTTGAAGGGACTGTATTTTTGCACATATAAAAATGGATGTTTGAATCAACACTGAACCTGCATTCAGAATGACTGTCGGGGTAAGGAAAATTGAGTAGAGACGATTTAAGTCGTTAAAATTCTACCGGTACATACAAAACACACAGATATTTAAAACAAGCCCAGAAGTTGTACCTGCATTTGGTCATGGAGGTAAATGAGGTACTGAAGAGTACAGATTTGTTGAAAATGTTGCATTGTTTTTTTGTTTGGGTGCTCTATGGAAAATATGTTTTACCTTCCTTAGGCAAACTCCAAGGAGGTTGTTTGTGCCATTTACTGAGGCGTGGCAGACATCTGGCCTCATTAGCATAAACTTCTTATTGGTTGAGCACCTTATTGGTTGAGTGAGATGGTTGTTCCTTTGGAACGTTCTTTGAGCTCCACACATGAAGTCTCTGGCTCTGGTCAGAGTAGCTATCGGGTTCTTGTTCACCTCCTTGGCCAAGGCCCTTCTCCTCATTGCCCAGTTGGGCCAGGCAGCCAACTCCAAAATGAATGTGTGTGGTTCCAAACTTCTTTCATTTAAAAATAATAGATAATGTTGTTTTATTGTGCACCTTCTGTAATCAAGTTGCCAAAACATATCAAAGATAATCCACGGAAACATGATGCATCTGGGAAAATTTTCAGAAATCTCAACAAAATCAATATAATCCGTTTCCAAGTGTCTGCAATATAACAACATGAGGAAAAGGTGGATGGGTTTGAATACTCCGAATGTACTACGTAAAAGATCAGCACCGGTCCAAACTCCATAGTTAAATAAAGAAATACATATTTAAATGTCATTATTCAACAACACATGTATATGAATGCTGGAAAGCATTCAGGAATTGATTATAATAAAATATAATTCCTGCACAATAAATATTAATGCACAGTTGGCATTGAAAATGCATAAGGAGTTAATAAATCTAATATAATGTATTTATTAATAAATCAAGTATTTTTAATGCCACATGTAATGCAGTAGAATAATCCGACAACCCTGTGACAAACATCAGTACAAATAGCTGTCAATGATCATCATTGAAAGGCTAAGTGTTTATTGAATGTCTATTTTGAGCACAGATAATTACAGAGATGACATTTTGCTTCTAGACCCCACCGAACTCAGTGTGACTGTTCAATTAAATAATGAAATAACCTGGAAAGCAATATGGAAACTCACGTTTACTCTTCTTTTTATCACCATAAAAGTTACCTTCCATTGGTGTCTACCTGTCTGCCGTGGTTTGTGTTGTGGCACAATTTGACCTCATTGAAACAGAATGCATAGCAGCGATGTTTAGCAATTCAAGTCATCCAAAGTATGATCTTCCTGAACGGCCAGCCACAAAATGTTCAAACACTGCATAATGTAAATGCCAAACTCTCCCAGGGAGAGGGTCCAGTGGATTCTGGGATCAATGGCACATTTTGAGATGTTAAGATGGATAAAATAGGTTAACATATTGACTGCATACTAAATACGTGGATTGTTCATCAAGAGCTGAACACCTCAATGTTTCATCGTGTTGTATGTACGTGTTACTGATTTGTTTAACAGGAGCATTGAGATGTTCTATGTCATATCACTTAACATTTAGATTTTAGTCAAACAATCTAGCAAACAAATCCAGCTACTTTCTCCCACCATTCATCCACAAAATGCTCTATGACCCCATTAGTATTATTGGTGAGTAAATTTAAATGCCCAAAAGCACATCTGCTGCTCAACTTGAACAAGCAAATCCCTTGATGTCAATGAAACAGCTGTAGGTGAATGCAGGTCACATGTTTCTCTACGTTTGCCACATTCATTTGTCAGATATAGCAATCAGGTGTATGCTTATTTATTTATATGCAAATCTATTCCAGGAACATACCCTGGTGGAAGATCTATACCACAACCTTAGCACAAAGTATATATGTAATATATAGCATATTATATATATTTTTTATCCCAACTTTTAAGCCCAGTTTTGTGAACAAAACAGTAAGCCTGAAGAAAGCATATATAGTTTAGACCTAAAGAAGAACATAATATATTCTGTCCCAATAAGTATGTGACAATGTGATTACAATTGGGAGAATTCTTGTCAAATATAAACATAATACAATAATTACTACTTGTACTATTTTTGACAATCGTTCTTTACACTTTTATGCTTGGAGTCCAGGCAGTAAATATTTAATGTTTTTTTTATTTAACCTTTATTCATCCAGGTAGGCCAATGGAGAACAAATTCTCATTTTCAACAGCAACCGGGTTAGAAGCTGGGGATTGAACCCAGGACATCTTACATACGAAGCATGTACTCTACCACTGAGATACCAACTCCTCCAATAGGAACCCAGGACATCATACATACAGAGCATGCACTCTACCACTGAGATACCAACTCCACCAATAGGAACCCAGGACATCATACACACAGAGCATGCACTCTACCACTGAGGTACACAAACTCCACCAATAGGAACCCAGTACATCATACATACAGAGCATGCACTCTACCACTGAGATACCAACTCCTCCAATAGGAACCCAGTACATAATACATACAGAGCATGCACTCTACCACTGAGATACCAACTCCTCCAATAGGAACCCAGGACATCATACATACAGAGCATGCACTCTACCACTGAGATACCAACTCCTCCAATAGGAACCCAGGACATCATACATACAGAGCATGCACTCTACCACTGAGATACCAACTCCTCCAATAGGAACCCAGGACATCATACATACAGAGCATGCACTCTACCACTGAGATACCAACTCATCCAATAGGAACCCAGGACATCATACATACAGAGCATGCACTCTACCACTGAGATACCAACTCATCCAATAGGAACCCAGGACATCATACATACAGAGCATGCACTCTACCACTGAGATACCAACTCATCCAATAGGAACCCAGGACATCATACATACAGAGCATGCACTCTACCTCGGAGATACCAACTCCTCCAATAGGAACTCAGGACATCATACATACAGAGCATGCACTCTACCACTGAGATACCAACTCCTCCAATAGGAACCCAGGACATCATACATACAGAGCATGCACTCTACCACTGAGATACCAACTCCTCCAATAGGAACCCAGGACATCATACATACAGAGCATGCACTCTACCACTGAGATACCAACTCATCCAATAGGAACCCAGGACATCATACATACAGAGCATGCACTCTACCACTGAGATACCAACTCATCCAATAGGAACCCAGGACATCATACATACAGAGCATGCACTCTACCACTGAGATACCAACTCATCCAATAGGAACCCAGGACATCATACATACAGAGCATGCACTCTACCTCTGAGATACCAACTCCTCCAATAGGAACTCAGGACATCATACATACAGAGCATGCACTCTACCACTGAGATACCAACTCCTCCAATAGGAACCCAGGACATCATACATACAGAGCATGCACTCTACCACTGAGATACCAACTCATCCAATAGGAACCCAGGACATCATACATACAGAGCATGCACTCTACCACTGAGATACCAACTCATCCAATAGGAACCCAGGACATCATACATACAGAGCATGCACTCTACCACTGAGATACCAACTCCACCAATAGGAACCCAGGACATCATACATACAGAACATGCACTCTACCACTGAGATACCAACTCCTCCAATAGGAACCCAGGACATCATACATACAGAGCATGCACTCTACCACTGAGATACCAACTCATCCAATAGGAACCCAGGACATCATACATACAGAGCATGCACTCTACCACTGAGATACCAACTCATCCAATAGGAACCCAGGACATCATACATACAGAGCATGCACTCTACCTCTGAGATACCAACTCCTCCAATAGGAACTCAGGACATCATACATACAGAGCATGCACTCTACCACTGAGATACCAACTCCTCCAATAGGAACCCAGGACATCATACATACAGAGCATGCACTCTACCACTGAGATACCAACTCCTCCAATAGGAACCCAGGACATCATACATACAGAGCATGTACTCTACCACTGAGATACCAACTCCTCCAATAGGAACCCAGGACATCATACATACAGAGCAGGCACTCTACCACTGAGATACCAACTCCTCTGATTCAAAATGTAATGCAAAGTATTGTGCAGACGTGTATTTAAATAAATCATATCCAATCATATGTTGTTTGATAGTTTTATAGAATTTCACTCCCTAGAAAAACATCTACATTCCACTTTAAAGAGCTACATGCAAGGAGGTTAAATAACTCAATAAGAACTTCACACGTTATGCTCTTGGAATTATGTCCTTATTACGGCTAGGTATTCTTACATACGCCAGCCTGCGCAGCTACAGGCAATATTTCCAATAAACAGTAAAATGTCAACATTTATTTAAAATCCTAGCGCAGCTCTAGCACCCAAAGATTAGGCTGAATTGATTTGTCTCATCTTAGAGGTCATTTGAATAACCAGCAATCACAACAACAGCCATATTGACATTCACAAATTAATGTCACACAAAACAATCATTTTTCTTCTGGCACATTAGAAAACACATTGAAAATAAATCTCAATCTCTTAGGCAGCTTTATTAATTTTGCATTTTCCATTAAGCCTATGACAAATTAATTTGCATCACAAAAATGTGAAGATAATTTTACAGTTAACAGATTACCCACCCAGTCCACAAACCTACAGCAGATATATTTATAATAAATTCCAATGACAGCGTTAGACATTTTGTCTACTTCACACTAAGCACCGTTGTGGTCCTCCTCACACTAACCTAGAATTAGTCCAGACAATCTCTATCCTTGGCATACATTGCGATGTTTTTCCTGAAAAGTAGAGACAGGATGTCATAGTGAATGTGCAGTGGCTTGTCATAAGGAAACCCATTAGTCTGTATCTTTCAGTTCTGCTTTTACTCATGCTATCTCCATTTCCATCACGCTTCCATACATAACAGGCTCTCTGAAATGTCCCCCCCTAGGAATTACACTACACATGCATACACAGAGAGCAGACTTAGTGAATAGGTGACAACCCTACTGCGTTACACTAGAATATCTGGAAGAATACCCAAGACTGCGTGAACACTGCTTTGATCAGGGGGTGCTACGAATCTTTTTAGAGGTGCTGCGGTTGGAATTAGATAAACAGTTATCCAATTCTGAAAACACTATTTGAATAAACAAAAATCTATTCATTAAAATAACACTGCTTTACTGAAGAAAATATGAATTTCTCTAAACAAGTTAAAACTATCCTAGTATAATAATCAGATTATTGTAACATTGATAATCAATATCGGTTCATTTCATTATGTATGGTAGAATTAGGTGTTTTTTTCTATTTCTTTTTATACATATCATCTGTCCAATATCTACAGCTGTTTCACGACAAGTTACCTCACAATTGACATGTATAGGTAAAACAGTTTCAGTGCTTATTCCACTTTTGATATGTAACATTATCTAATAAACTCAACCACAAAAAGAAACCAACCTGTGCTGAAGCTTGACAACTTGAGAAAGTGAGTTGATCAGCTCAGGGCATTGGGTTGTTTAGCCCTACCGGAGCATCAAGCAGAAACGCTATGCGCGCTTATTGCCTGTCCTGTGTTATGGTAAGTCCAGCAGTGCATACACACATGTACATATAACCACACGCGCGCGCAAACGCACACGCACACACACACACACACGCACACACACACACACACACACACACACACACACACACACACACACACACACACACACACACACACACACACACACACACACACACACACACACACACACACCATGCCTCTAAAGCACATCTGCTGTCATCAGTCGTTTTCTTTCTACGGAGCCGTTTTGATTGGAGTTTGGCTGTGAGGCTAATAGAGCGTTGATTCATAGATTGGGACTGTTATCACATTTGCATGTTTCTATTGATTAGCAAACTGACCTTGCTAGGAAAAATACCAGACATGCATAATTTAGCATCTTAGACAATAGTACATTTTGAGTGCATTTTGAGTGTTTGTGTTTAATAATAAAACAGCAAACTGATTGAACTTTAATTCTACCATATGCAACTCAATAATGTGAGAGAAGCAATGCTTTTGCATTCATTCCCGCGACTATGGAAAAAAAGTACATGGAAAGTAGTCTGCGTATTGGGACACATGGATTTCAGCGCCGAATGCCAACCCGATTGATAAATGTAATCCAATTATTAAAGTAATTAAAATAAACAGAAATGCAAATTTCCTTATGCTGAAAACATTTATACACCCCCCCCCCCCATTGTAACTTTAAATGGTGAACATGTTTCCTCACAGGCACCAAACCAGGTGCAAGTGATTACAAAATAATAAGTGTAGCATGGGAGGGTCCAGCCTTCTGAAAAGATTAGAAACATAGCCAGGTTTTGTTTTTAACCATATCAGTGGGTTGTACATTGTGTCAAGACCGTAAAGAGCTAAGCCACTCAAACAATAGTGATGCCCGTAACTCTGGAATGGGTTTACAGAGCGATTTCTATGAAAGTTTAAGAGCTAAACACTTGTTTTTGGACTACTGTCTATTTGCTGGTCAGAAGTTCAGTCAGACAGATGCTATCATTTAACATTTGGAAATGTATGGGGTAGAAAGTGGACTGTACAGTTTTTTTTGACTGTACAAAATACAAGGCCAGCCTTTGCCACTGCTGTTTTTATATACACAAAATAAATATAAGTAAACATTTGTAGTTGGCGGGAAATGTTTTAGAGATGGGTCAAATATTTAGAAATCAACAAAACAGAGATGCAGCTCATTTCTATTGGCTGAAATTTCTATTTGGGAAATAAAGGGTGATAGTTCCAGAAGGACAAAAGCTTGTTCAGGTATGTTTTGGCAAATTGAGTTTAAGACATTGGTGAAAATTCTTACTTTATGACAGAAGATCTGTATGAATCGTTGTGGCAGTGGATCGAGGTGCTTGCTTCACCATTTAAACAATACTTTGATGCTATTTCTATCATGTTTCTTCTTGCAGTCACAACCTGGGAAGCAGACTTCAGTGGCATGGGCTTTAAATTTCATGAGTTGGAATTTGGCCTTGAGAGTGTCCATGCTACAATCCTGCGTCTGATCTCCTAGGTTAATTTTCTGGTTCTTTCTTTTCTCCATTCTTATTGTAGTGAAAACATTGACAAGAGAACAAGAGACTATCTAATTCTCTGTAATCAAACTGATGGATTTGCAGAGTACAGGCAGACTCAACTTACCACAGGTTTGTTCAATTTCAATGTAAAATCAACTGCTTGAAGGTGCGCAACAT